TGAGGGCAACAGTAAAATAACCTTCCGGGATTCGAAACCATTGTGGGGTGGGTGGGTTTTACAGTGATTTTTTCGTCGGAAAAAGAGGAAACCAGAGGAGAGAAAGAGAGAAGAAATAGAGAAGAAAGAGAGCAGTAGAAACAGAGAAGAAAGAGAAGAAAGAAAGAGAAGATGAAGAGAGAGAAAAAGAAGAGAGAGAAAAGGGTGAGAGTGAAAAAGAAGAGAGAGAATATAATAAAATATATAAAATTCACATTAGGGACTGAACTGCATGTCAGACGCGTGAATAGGGACTGAATTGCTTGGGGAAACTACCTAGGGACTGATCTGTGTGTTGAGTTTTGGATTAGGGATTTATCTGTAGTTTCCCCATAGTGGGATTTGCAGTTTATTCGGTATGATTTAAGTACTGCTCAAATGAAGACCATTTTTTTTCTAATTTTAATAACATTATAAGTTGTGACATTAATATTTTAATAAATATTAAAATAATACAAATATAAAAAAAATCATTATTCTTCCTTTTTTTTCTTTTTAACAAAACCTCTAAAAAACCTCCAAATTCAAAAATCTCAAATCCTCACAAAAATGAAAGTTTGTAAAATTGAGTCATAAAACAAGAAAATGATAGTTTAAATGGAAGGAGAACTCGTTAGAGTTTGTATATATGTCTTTTTTGAGTTTGGAAAAAAAATTCATAAATCGTCGCTTTTTTTTTTAAAACGTACAAGTTGATTTTTTTGTTTTTTTTTTCCCGACATGCAAGTGCTGAAAATTTCACCAAAATCGACATTTTAGTGTCGAAAATTGAAAAAAGAAAAATCAATGCACAAACAAAAAATAAGAATAAATAAATTAAACAATCTATTTTCGACAAGTTGTTGTCGAATTTTGAAGAAAATTCGACACTTAAATGTCAAAATTCTCTCAAAAAATTGACAGCAACTTATCAACGTGTCGAGTTTTCTCTCAAGTCTACCTAAATGTGTCCATTTTTTGAGAAAATTCAACATGTTCAGGTCGAAAAACTTCTGCAAAACCTCAAATTGAATCCAAAGAAAAAACCGACCAAATCAAGGCAACCCAATAACAATTAACCAACATTCAATGCTCAACAGACGTATTTAGCTAATAATTATTATGTATTACCTAACTTAATAAGCCTTAGAAGCAATTTCAATGGATTGATTTTTTTTTAAAACATAATCGGGTCTTTGTTTGCCTGAGGTTTAGTCATGGTCTTCCAACAACAATGGTGGCAAGGATGACAGGGGTTCGCGGCAGGAACGTTTGTGTCGACAGTGGTACGATGATGGTGCGACCGACGAGTTTGGGCTCTTTGGCGAGGGTTTTTTAATTTTATTTTCATTAAAAGTTTGGTCTCAACAAAAGAAAATGAAGAGATCGATTCTGGAGTAAATTACGGCCACCTTTTGAGATAAAGTCAAATTACGAAAAAACCTTTCAAATTACAACCACCTCATCAATTAAGAATCTTCTTACACGCTAACATTTGCGGTGTCAAATTTAGTGAATTCTTTTAGAGTTTGTGGAATATTCTCCAGTTTGTAGCCATTTTACTCCATTCGAGCTCCACATTTTGAAATAAGATAATCATAAGATGTGTCTCTTGGCTTGTAAATATCAGATTGTGGAGCATCAGAAACTACTTTTTTGCACAAAACGAGTACAAACTAGAGAAACACTCAACGGCATCTAGAAGATTATGTTGAATTTGACACTATATGAGTGGGCATGTAAGAAGATTCATAGTCAAAGAGATGATTGTAATCATCCAAACATAAGAGTTTTTTTTTTTTTTGCGTAATTTGACCTACTACCTCAGGGGTGGCCGTAATTTACCTCTGAATTTTTCTTTACTTGTATAAATCTTATATACCAAAAAAGATATTTTTGTACTTTAAGGTATGAGTAAACTGTAAAATGTAACCTTGTGTAATCTCTAAATATTAAAAAAAAAAAAAAAAAAAAAAAAAAAAAAAAAAAAAACCCCTTGAAAAAAAAACAACCAAAACCCCCCTTGTGAAATTTAGTCAAAGGCAGAAACCCCCCAAATTGACTTTCGGGGGGCTCACTTGCCGGA